TGCTGCTGGGTAAATGTGTACTCGCTGTGGGAAAAAAAAAAAGAGAAAAAAAAAAAAGCGAAGTTCAAAGAGAACTCCAGGGACTCCACAGTTCAACCCTGAGCTACACATATTCTCTTCTATTGGTACAACTTTCACTGTCCTGAAATATGATTAGCCTAAGACCAAAAGTCAAAAATTACAGAAGTTGCGATGAAAACCTAGGGCATGTCTATCTAGTCCAGCTTTTCATGTCATATAGTAACCCAAAGCTGCTTTGAAGTAACTTTCAAGCATGAAAAGATGGATATAGCACTTTTTCACTGTTGCTTTCTAGCAACTGATATTTAAAATACACTGTCTGTGAGGCCAGAGGTGGTAAAGAGGACAGTATTATGCTGATAGTACTGATAGACTAATTCTCCATGAATTTGTCTGTTCCATTTTAAAAGTCATCTAAATTGTTGGCCTCTGCCATCATTTGAAATGGCAGTAAATCAATCCATGTTTATTTATTATGGCCAGCAAATAAAGATGAATTTAAAAAAGGAAAAAAAGAAAATAAAAATAGATAAAAGAATCCCTCTTAAATCTTACTGTGGGTCCCCTGCCAACAAAGCCTTGATGCTAGATTACAAAACTTTGCAGCATTGTAGGTTGTATAAAAACCTTACCAGTGAGCAGGAATTCAACATAGTAACTGGCTAATTCTCCAGGTATTGCTGCTAGAAGGGAAAAAATAAGATCCCGATGCAACGTTGTATAAATTCTGCAGTATAAAAGAACATGCGTTATTGATTCTACCTCTTGTGTGTCACAAGGGCAGAGATGAAGAGCCACAGGGAGTCTGCAATATCTCTCCTGTAACAATGCAGAAGGATGGGCATTACAGTGAGCTCTGGTAGTTTGAGTAGATCGGGGAGTAAATGTAGGGAGCCGTGCCTCTTTGATTAATTCTTTTTGGTACTTACTGTAGAAAAACTGGGCAGTCAGTTCAAATTATACTGCAGCTTAATTTTGAATAATTGTTTGGTAATCAGACTATTATCCTGAAACCAGCCAAGGTTACATAAAATGGTCTAAGAAAGGCCACACAAAAGGAGCTTCTGCTTAAGGAGATTGGAAGATATGACTGAAAACAGTAGTGCAGCTCAGTGGGCTGATAGTTCTAAGTTTAAGCCAATAATTGAATATTACTAGCTTTTCTTTACTCTACTCTGATCTGCTCGGCTTCTAGCCCAAGAGCTGCATTTGAGACATGTTTGGAAGTACCAAACATAGAACTAAGGAATTTGGATTGAACAGATTCCAGCGGACTAAAGTTAGAATATGGACTGATAGCTGCTCTAAATAATCGTTGTGCTAAAGCTGTTGCCTGATAAAGTTTGGTGGCTACAGCTAATGGCAGTGAGTTCCCAAGTTTCACTGAAGGTCATCAGAAAGTGATCAGGTTAGGAAAGGCTGATTCAGTGCAAGACATATAAATATGGGTGATACAGAACTGGAGCAGTGATGGGAAGGGGTTGAGAGAAGTATTATGAACATTATTTGGCAAGAAATCCCTCAGGAATTATCTGGAAGGGAAGTTATTTTGTAATTGCTGCCAATCTATTTTAGACTTCCCTAGATAGTTTGCAACGTAACACTGCAATCCTATTTGTCTCTGCTCAGAAGTAAATCCCAGTCAGTGTAGGTTTACTCACCACTAAGAGGGTTTAGGATTTCAGCCTAAGTTAGCTAAGCAGTGTGTCCATCTGGCAGCCTTTCTTTTACGGTAGAAATGGCATTATTAGTAAAATTCTGCCGGTTGTTCTACAAGCAATGCATTGAACATTTTCTTTTGTACAAAAATGCAGCCACTAAGCTTTCTGTGTTCTTCTCTGCTGATTCTGAAGATGTTTCTCTTCCCCACTTGTTATATTTCCCAGTCCCATATGTGGGAGAAAAAGGAGTCATTTTTGCTTGGTCAATCCTTTTGTAGATCTAAAGCATCAGCAACTCATGTTGGTATGTTTAATAAATATTTAACATGCTGCAGTCATTTGGTATGTGGTCCACTGTGTGGTAAGACAACATAAAATGCTTTTTAAAAATATACTGATGAGTGATGATAACATTAGGAATGAATACAAAGATACTAATGCTGACAGAAAGCAGGTTTAATCTTGAGTCAAGCTGAGAAAAATGTATTTCTTGTAAGAGTACCAATTTCATACCAATTCCTTCTCTGTCTCCCTAGAATAGTGCCGTGGTTTTCTCCAACTAGATTCCAGATGGATTTGATTAGAAAGCGTGTACAATAAACTGAAGCAGGTTCAGGCTGAGACAATTTGTTACCTGAAGAGAGGAGATGGCACACTTTCCTCAGTTGTGTGCTGGAGTAGCAAACAAAGCTTTCTTGTCATAGAGGAGAGAGCAGACTAGCTTAGATCAGGACAGGTTATGTAGCTTCCATGGGTCCAACGAAGTGGAGCAATTGTGAAATCAACTCTGCAGTCCTGCAGCATTTGCAACCTGAGGTGGGGACAACAGTCCTCTTAATGGTTGGGCTGGGTCTGACCTTGGCCATGAAAATATTGCATTATGAAGTGCACTCCATGTAAAAACTGTGCTCATGATACTATGGTTATCATTTTTCACACTGAATATTTTATAGGTTTGTCAGGATTTTTCTTAATAGGATATAGATCACAAATAGAGACACTTCCAAATAGTAGGTAACTTCTGGTTAGATTTCCAAAGGAATCCCATATCTCTAAAAAAATCCACTTGCAGGGAACACTTCTGGCTTAACAATACAGAATGTATACACCCCAAATAAACATCCCCCCCTTTTTTTGCTGTGCAACATGCTTATATTGCAGGATCAATAAATGCATTTGATTTACAGAGACCAAACCTCCCACTAATTGCATTATCTCAAGGGTCACAAAGAACACTGAGACAAAAATTTCTAACCCAAACACAGATTTCAAATGAAGGAGTGATTTAAATTCTCTCTTCCCTACTCAGTTCTTAGATTTGTTGTCCCTTGCTACTTTTTAGTTATAGGTCTCCTGTAACTTCAGATATAGAAGTTTTCTGGTGTTCACGTGCTAGAAAATGGGTGATAAGGACACACAATATATGTAAAGGGCAGGTTTGTTCAGAAGAGTGTCAAGTCAGAAGGTGTTACAAAATAGAGAATCTTCATTTTTAAACAAAAAGTACAGATTTATTTATTTCAGTTATGGTTATGTCATTATCACTGTTCTCAACTCAATTTTTCCCCCTTTGCTCAAAAAATGCAGAGTTTCTAGTTCAGGAAAGGATGGGGGTATATTAATTTTGCAGCAAAATTGCAGAAATATCCTACAGATATACCCTACCAAACACTACTCCTGCTGCTCTATTCTCCCTAGTGGTTGCATTAACTTGGAGAGTTGTACAAAGCTGTTTGCAGCTGTTCTGTTCCCTAATATGTCTTTTGCACTTCTCAAAAGAGTTGCTGTTGCACTGTCAGTATAGTTAACGAAAGCTGGTCATATTTAAGTTTGAAATGAATTATACTGCAAAGTTTTGGAAAAGTACTTCATAGAAAGTCAAATGAACACATTTACTTTTGAAAATGTCTGTACAAATCATATACCAAATCATATACCATATAACTGGATTGCAGTCCTGAAGTGCAAATTATATATAGCATGCTATCTGGCGTTTTCTGTGTTTAATACATAAGTTATATGAAAAAAAACAACCCTGTAACTTTTAGGTATGTATCTGTGGGTCAGAAATATAGTTCTTACTGGATTTGGAGAATGGCGAAAAAAGTCGCTAGCTAAAATAACAGATAACGAAGCTGGGCTACATGTATGGTTTATTTCTAGAGATACGTCATGGCAGAGTTCAAACCTACACAAAATCTGGAAACCTTTGAAAGGTTGTGGAAATGCGATTTGTAAATTACTTAGTCACTGAAACCAAATCAGCAACAATTCAATATGTTTGTTTTTCAGAGTTTCCAAGATTGATTCCTGGGGCACAGAATAACTACCAACGCTTGAAGGGGTAGTGATTTCCAACCCACAGATCTGAAGCAGTCCAGGTTGAGGAAGGCTGTTTTTAGAGAGGGCAGGCACAAGTTATGCTTGATCATATATAAGACAGTAACAGTGGATCTTGTCACACAGTGTAGGTAGCGAGGAACAAAGGCTCCTGCTGTTGCTTCAAACCACATATGATTAACTTGGGAGTTTTTCTCTCTCTTTAGTAGTCACAGCGATGAAACTACAGGTGTTTGGTCAGTTTAAGTCCCATAGGAAACTTTTGCCTGTCAGAACCTCAGATTATTTCCCCCCCCCAGTTCCTCCATGATATGGACTGATTATTAACAGTGGAACTAATGGTTATCGAACTATAACAAGTACAGTGTTGCCTTCTTGTGAATGGGGAAACTGTGTATTAAAGTGCCCATGCCTGTTAAAATCCCTGGCTTGGACTATGCATCTTTAGTGTAAGGTTTCTCAGGCTACTCTGAATCAACAGACTTCTTTTCTATATAATACCTGTATCTCAAGAAGCCTTGAATCTTTGTAGTGTCAGTAAAAGGTGGTTATTAATACATTCTATAAAAAATGCTACAAGGGTGTCCCCTACTGGACAAGAACATATTACAACATATGAATGCAGATAAAAGAAACTGAGGCTCCCTTAAAGGATTTTGGAATAGGTTAGTAACTGTTCCTTGTAGAAAGTTGAAAAGTTCAACTTTGTAGGCCTAGATAAAACCAGACATTCAGTGGAAACTGTTAGTTTCTTCTTTGGCTGAACAATGTAATGATCAGAAAAACAAATACACATTTAAAATGCAGCCAACACTTTTATTTAAAAATGATTCATCTGAAATGGCAACAGACTAGAAAGACACATGTACAATAAAGAGGGTTTTTGGTTTTTTTTTAAGCTAGAAACACAATAACAACAGTTCTATGGTTATTTAAAGGAAGGCTTTGGATCTGATGTTGAATTCCTCTGTCTTGGCTGACACCCCCATTTATAGTGCTTTGGTTGAGGCACGCAGCTCTATGGTCTGAAGTGACCTGTTTGCACCAAGAGGAGTAAATGAGAGAGTTTCTGCTGCTCTAGTACTTTTTCTATTGATGCTTCCAGTTGTCAGGGCATCAAAGTTTGCCAGCATTTTAACTCATCCTCACTCTAACACTTCCACATTTGCCTGCACCGGCACGTGCCATAATGGCCTACAGACATCACAAGGCAGGTTTCACTGGCACTGAAGGCATATCTACTGGAGCAGTCTTAGATTTCTTTAGTGAACTGCTTGCTTCAATTGGTTGTATCCAATGTACTTTTTTCAGACAATCTTGCAGCCTTAAGGCTATTTTTGCAGGTGCATATTGTCTACCAAATGCCACTATCACACACGAATGCACAGCATGGCTATCATTTAAATAACCTTTGGCCCCCTATCCTAAGAGAGATTCTCACTTGAATATGACAGAGCCTTTAAACACCTGTAGCATTTACATGTCTGAGTACACTTAGGGCATCATAGAACAACACAGGGTTACAAGCAGCCAAAGATTGTTGTGAGAGAGATCTTTTTGCTGCTACCCCTGGCTTTCCACCCACTTTTCCAGAACACTTCCTGATGTAATCCAACAAGAGTCACTCGAATTCTAGATGTCAGAAAAATGAATATATAACAGAAGGGCACAAGCCAGTCAAGTCCTCAGATATATGCTTAGAATTACAGTTGTACAGACATATGAGCAAGTGGGTTCTGATGGGTGGAGCAGCCCATACATGTGAATAGGAAGAGAAAGAGTATGGATCCTTAAGATGCTCTAAAATGACCCAGGCACAAGGCAGAGTGTTAAGATTGTCACTGACTTCATGAATGCTAGCCAATGAGTATTTGAAACATTAATACATTTCTCGATCAATATATGTATTATCTAAAGACTTGACAATTTCTTTGTGATAGAAAATGCTTCTGGTCCACCATAATATGAATAGTGGAAACCTGATGTTCAGAGTTCCTGCAACAAGCAAATAATTCGAGTGTACTTCCATTGCACAATATCATGATTGTCTGGAATGGTGCTCAGATATCAAGCCCGCTGAGTCTTTACAGTATTTTACTGACATTAGCTATTTAACAGTGATGCCTTTTCTTCACCTACACTTAACCATGACAAATTACTCCTATTCAAGATTTCAGGGATAAAATAGAGAACATGGTATGTTGGGCATAGAATCCACAGTAACTTTAAATGATAATCTCCCTTGTGTTTCCTGACTTTAGCACATCAGGTCCTACTTTGTACGCCCAGCCCCCACATTGGACAGAGTGAAACAGCAGTCCCTGGAGGTATATAGTGGGGAGTAGAATGGATAATGCTATATGTGCCCGTATATTCTCACTATATGCCTCCTAAGCTAGTTTACTGCCCTCAGCACTACTCAACAACACTTCACATTTAGTTTTTCTGCATGGACCTATGCAGGGTGGAGAGGCTCCTTGTAGTTCTTTGCCTCAGGCAGCAAAACAGTAGTTTCAGCACTCTTGCTGCCTTATTGTAATTATACTTTGTTTATGAAAAAAAGGGTAATGAAATACCTTTAAAGTGTGGGTGGAATTCCTTTCTCGTCCAAATCATTTTTATGTGTTTACTTTAACCAAAATGTGTGAAATGCAATGCTTCTTCAACATTTCTGCCGTGAAATTTACCATGCAAAATACCAAGAGATGCAGCCTATGCTCAGTTCCTATCCTGAAGTATCAATGTGCCTGAAGTGCAGTGGAATCATCCCTTGCCTTAAACACATTTTACCTATTACACTGTGAGTCATCTTTAAATGTGTGACAACTACGGGTAGTTAAGGATGAACTCATCTGTGTTATTTGTCCAAAAGCAAAGCTCATAGCCATGCACAATGTTCAGGACAGACCCCTGTACACAACAGGGTGAATCTGCACATTGCCCACTCACACACGTATATGGGAAAACTCTTGCATATATAGAAGTTTCTGTGTTAATAAGGTAGATTTTTATTTTTATTTGTGCCTTCGAGTCATCGTTGACTCCTGGTGACTGCCTGGACTTGTCCCTGCTGTTTTCGTGCCAAGATTTCAGAAGTGGTTTGTCACTGCCTGCTTCCTAGGGCTGAGAGACAGTGACTGGTCCAAGGTCAGCCAGCTGGCTTTGTGCCTAAGGTGGGACTAGAACTGATGGTCTCCCAGTTTCTAGCCTGATGCCTTAACCACTACACCAAACTGGCTCTCTTAGTAAAGTAAAGGGCAGGTCCAAATCCATGGATCATATTGGGTCACTGTGAAAATTTAGGGCATCTGAATAAGCCTGGTATACCAGCTGAACTTTCAAACTTGAGCACCTGCCAATTTCTCATGTGGAAGGGAAATTAGATTGTATTCTGCAGAACAGCAACATTTAGTTGCAAGTGCACAGAAGTATAATTCAAATTCTCATCAC